AACTCCAACAACCAACAAAGGGCAAAAAGCACCTGGTGTTTCTTTCTTTTGCTAAAAAAGAAAAGGAAAAGATTATATATATATATGTATATTTGTGTGTGTGTATATATATATACACATATATATATATATAAAAAGGGAGACTGTATATGGCAGTTCAGATGTAGTGGGCCCTCTCTGAGAGCTGGCATTATCCTGTGTCCATCCTTGAACTAATCTACGGAAGTGAAAGGAATGTTTTTATGCAGATTGGGGTTCTGACTGTGCCGGTTTCGGCTACGGACAGAGGAGAACATCATGTTGCACCCAGGGACCTTGCACTTGTGCATTTCTCGCAAGTGCACCGTTTTATAGTGCACTCTGAGGGTTCCCTTGTTGCTGTACATTTTGTGGCAAATGTTACACATTATCCCACCGTTGCTCACCGAAACACTGTTGAACATGAGGGATCCTGGGACATCGGTGCCCATACCTACAGCTAAGGCAGGAGCATCTGCTTTGTGGGCAGATTCCCCGCTGTCACTTGCCCCATCGACGTCGTCCAGGAGAATACCCTCATCGCTTCCTGCATCAGATTCTCTTGAGGAATGGATACTGCTGCTGGACTGGATGCTGGAGGTGGTGCTCAGGTCTAGTACCATATAGTCTTCTGCCATGCCCCTGCCGTACCCATTCATATGGGAATCCTCAGTACCAGCAGGCGAGGAGGTGTCTTCCCTTATGTCAAGCCCCATCTGATGCTGAGCGCCATATATCTTCACCAAAAATTCATCGCGGAGGTCCTTACTAAGAGAAGGCTGTGAAGTGTCCAAGCCCATGTCATCCAGTTCTTTGGTCAACAGTTTACGGTGCAGGTTTATGTTAGCACTGTGTCTGGGAAAGGAAGAGGGAGGGGAGAAAAGGAAAAATGTACAGTATTTTTGATTAAACATGCGGTCATCAAGCACCAAATCCAAATTGTGATTTATTGATAATTTTTCATAAAAACATCCCCTACCCATGTTGCTTGGAAATTTCAGTATTTCTAAAAGTGGACAAATTGCAACATAAAAACTGAACAAAACAAGCAAATGACCCCCACCCCCAACCCCCTCATTGTTTTTTTTTGTCGGCTGCTGCTCCCTAACATTAGTGCCCGCAGCAGCTACAGCCCTTTTATGTGATATTTACAAAATAATAAATTACACTAACAGAAAATGCATAATGCTCTTCTTGATTCCTGAATCCTTGCTGACTTTCCTTCTCTTCAGATGACAAAAATATTGAATATGGAATATCTGTATGTGTTTCTATCTATGTCTGACTCTGGATCCATATCTTTGATATTTATTCATACATATGTACATATGAATATATATATATATATATATAATATATTTATATATATAATTATATGTTCTCACGTGACTCTTTAATTGAAATATAGGAGGAGAGTAAAAAAAAAGTAACTGAATAATGTCTTGTCAGAGGTCCTGATTCTGGTAATTTAATTCTCATATAAAGGGGTTCAGAATCAGGCCAAACAAAGATGGAGAAGACTTGAAGGGTTTAAGAGAACAAGTCTTTGAAATCTACATGTAAATTTCTGAAAATCTTGGCCAAAACCAGTGGTTTCATCCTTCTAGGCTGTCACTGCCACTCCTCCCTGTCCTTTTCCCTGTACTATATGCAGTGTTGACTGACTCAAGCAGTGTAATGTCCAGTAAAAAATCCACATTAATGGCAGCGAGATTTTTTTCCCAAATCAATCAAAAAAGCTTAACATGGGTTTGGTTTAGGTATTTGCTGAAGTTACTGCAGTTGTTCAAGACAATGGAAAACTGTCACTGATGGAAATGGGTTTTGGACCAGATCCCAAGAGCTGCAAATTAGAATACTCTCAAGTGTCTTTAGAGGATCTGGGCCTTTGCTCCCAAGAAATAAAACTCTACATTTGCAAGCAATGTAAGCCTTTGGGTTAGTAAATGTGTAAAATAGCCTATTATTTGAAATACTGAATTCTACTCTCCACTTTTGGCATTGGCTTTACTCATCCATTGCAGTAGAACCTCACTGATTTGCAGTAGTGTCAGGAAACCCTCTTCGAAAAACTGCATTTTCTGAATTAATGAATTAATGCAACCAACAAACATGACAGACATCAAAGACCTCTGACCACAGAACATGCTCRTTTTGCTGAAGTGCTTTAAGTATAAGAAATCAGTGTAAAGTTTTCAGTAACAGAAAACTTTGGGGTTTAATTTTCAGAATGTGCAGCATTGCTGAGGGAATGACAAATATTTAGTTTCTTTGGAGGGTGACTTGATTTTTTGAGTCAGCAAAAAAAGAATTAGCGAAGTTCTACTGCATAACATTCTTTGCAAGCTAAGGACCCAAACCCGCAATTTACAACATGCAGACTCACCAGTCTGTCTGCCCATTATAAATTGCAGATCAGAGCCCAAATGTAGGAGGGAAAAGAAGGGGGGGAGGGGGAAGGGGGAGGAGGGTGGGGAAAGAGAGAGAGAAAGAGAGAATTTTAACATAGGAATAGCTTAATTTGCAAAAAAGCACTAGGTATAAAATTGGCATGGGAAGACATAACAATGATCAAATATTTTACAGACATTTAGGTCCTACATTAACAAAAAGGGAGAAGAGGAACAATAGCTATTAGCAATATTTCCTTATTTGAAGCTTTTATTTTAAAAAAAAACCCTTTGAAACATACCTCTCAACCAACTGAAGTCCCAAACACAGTGCAGCAATACAATGCAAATATATAAAGCAAATGCAAATATAGGAAGATTAAATTGTGGAGTTAATCTTTGTGATTTTCTGACACTTACTTTGTGATTAATTTATCTGTTGCACATAATGTAACGGAACAAATAAACAGCAATAGTACTGATCTGTCCCACTCACCTGCAAATGCAGGTAACTGTTCTCTGACATAAAACTGATACTGAAATGCACTTTAATTGAATTGTCTGCTTGGGATGCAATTATTCCAGTAAAGGGGTGGTCTAGAATGGAAGATTTCTGTCCTAATGAGAGATAGTTGAGAGGTATGGGCAAGGGTGTAAAAAGTGGAGAGTATTTCTTGCTTTTCTCCCACATGGGAAATACTTCTTTCACACAAGCAAGTATAGCACCATTGCTTTTTTGAGGCGCAGAAGTGTAATTATGCATATCCCCACACTGCACTTAGGAAGGCTGAGCTTACCTTGTGATAAGATCAGCTTTCTAATCTTTTGCTAAATTGAGATCACGAGAGAGAGAGAGAGAGAGAGAGAGAGAGAGAGAGAGAGAGAGAGAGAGAGAGAGAGAGAGAAGAGGAGAAAAGAGAAAGAAAGAGGGAGGGGGAGGAGAGAGAGAGAGAACAAATTCACATTCCAATCCAGACATATCTGGTTTAAAAAAAAAAAAATCTGAAACCAATAAACACAGACTAAAAGAAGTCTTGACTGTGAAACTGGTTTTTGTCAGCTGTAATATCACTTACACTTTTGTCCTGATGGATACTGACTCAGTCACATAATACAGAAAACATAAAGCAAATTAATCAAAGCATATTCACACTATCCCCATTATCATCCACAAATGAGTTCTGAACAGATGCATGCAGTGTGCACATACATGAATGATAAACAGTAGACCTGATGGTCCCTTGCTTTCCTAGTGTCAGATGGAATGAGGCTCCACATAAAGTTTCCAAGTGCAGTACAGGAAATGCTCACTGTGAAGGCCTGTCCACACTGACCAGTGTTATTAAATGACCATAAAAGCACACTTGTGCTTATCATCAAAAGGCTAACTGCAAACTATTCATAGAGTACTCATGTGTATATTTATAATTTCTCCCCCTCTCTCCTCTTCTCTCCTCTCCTCACTCCTGTGGTAAGGGAATTTGTAGCTGCACAGAAGCTAGTCAACATAACTCTAACTGTTGCTTCCATGCATTTGTGCTTACTGTTTCCTTGGTTTGCAGCTGAGAAAAACAACAGTCAGGCATGCAGTGAAAACGACTTCAGCATTCCCTAAATGAAGAGATAAGAATCAATTGCCATGTTAAAGAGGGGCCACCAAGCCCCAGATAGACAGAGGCCATTCTGAGAAAGACCAGTGAAAGGATGTGAACTCTGCTGATGCTCTGATAAGAAGAGATGCCTCCCTTATTCAATTCTCACTTACAGCAGCAGCAATCAGTAATCTAGTTAAAGTATGTACCAGCCCATAATATCTGTCAGGCAAACGATGTGCAGAAATGTGCGGACCAGTTCTGGCACTCTGCTCAACAGTGTCCCTTTTCCGCTGTCAGCAGTACTGTTGGATTCTCCTAATATAATTACATTGACTTTTATTCAATTAAGTGCCATTCCTAGCCTTAAAAAGAAGCTACTTTATCAATTGATTCAGGTGTAATGCAATAATAAAGATGAACTCATGGCAGTGCATTAGCTCTGCTGTTCATAACTTCTGAGCATAGGTTCATTCATAGCAGTCGATTTCCATTATGCAACCACAGTTCAAAAGAATTGATTCTTTTACATTCATTTCTTAATCTATTTCACTTGTGTTTAATACTGTCCCTAAATATCATATGCAAAAGCATACTGGTGGAGAAGGGAGGAATGAATTTTGAAAAAAAAAATCATTTATTAGACACTGAAGTTTTGAAATCCTATTAAAAATCCCAAAGTCTCAGACCCCCTTCTCAATACCAAACAGAGATCTTCCATCTTAATCCAACTATTTTGGACTATTTATCCCTGCTTTGTCACTCCCAAAGCCTAGGAAGTCCCCTTCGAGCCCTCAGCCAGTGCTAACCACCTCTCATCTTGTTCATATGTTCCTCCCATGACACCTGCGGTTTCTTGCTTCAGCTGTCCCGTTCCCTGATGTGATTTACAGAGCTGCTCACCTCTTCCTCCTGCAGATACTGCTCCCAGGTATGTGTAAACAATGGTCCCTGAGTAAGCTGAGGCACAGCTTGGGCACAGAGATTTGTGCCAGTGCATGAACACCGCCATCAAACAGACAGAAAATCCTGAAGCAAAATATGCCAAAACCAGCTGAGCTTCAGCTTGCCATGGCTTCATTATTGCTCCTACGTGAGTTAGTTAATTTAAGGCCATCTCTGGTGTCCTTTGCACTGCAATTGCTATTGTATCTGCAGGGAAAAGAACTCAACATAAATGATTGGCAGAGGTATATTTATGTGTGTACAAAACAAAATATTTGGCCTAATTAAATTCTTTGAATGCCTCTGGACTTCTCTGATTGCTTATTTRTACATCAACTTCCAGAATGGTATTTGATCCTTGCAGTGGAAGTGTTGCATAAAGATAACTGATGATTGAAGTCTTTCAGACAGAAATACGACATCAAATGCATTTAACTAAAGGCGTATCTCACTTTTTTTCAGTTCCTATACCTACCCACCCCTAGGCAACAAGGGACGGTGAAGAGGGTTAGTTCTGGAAATACTATCAGCGCCAAAGAATGCCCGAACACCTGTTTTTTTCTGTACTACATGTCAGGTACCCTTAAAAATGAGGAGTGTATTTTTCCAAGATGTTTTGAAAGGTAGCTTGTTGTGGCAGGGAAGTCTGAGTAAATTCTAAGACCCAGAATACCAATTTTTTGGGCATAACTACCACCCTTTTTTCAAGTTACTATTAACTAATTCGATATATGGCAGGCAGGGGTGCAGCAAAGTCCTCACTAGAGTTAATTCAGCTGTAAGTATGGAGCAGTGCTGCTGTGAGGATCATAATGATAATGATGACACACATAACATCTGTGATTATAGTGGAGTGTCAGCCTCTGAGCTCACCACTGCCCTTTCAGACAGGAGTTTTGGCAGCAGTGCAGTTCAGAATCCTACAGCA